ACTTTAGGTAGCACGAGCAACTGCAGCGCCAATACTTGTGTTACCTATTATCTATCATGAATCCAGAACTGCAGCGCCAATACTTGTGTTATCTATTGTGTTACCAAAAGAATTACCTTTTATGTATCATTTTTTTGGTGGTACCTAAATCTATTTATGTAATAATGAAGTTAGGTAATCATGAATCCAGAACTGCTATTAAATACAATAAAATAAAATTTGTATAAAACAATGGGGTCTTCGGAAAGAGATTTTGGGGATATGTAATAATACCATTGTTAGACATACTTTTCTTTAATGTAATATGAGTATAGAATGAGGTAGTTTATACATCTTATAATTAAGCAAATTTGCTAAACATGTTTATGTTTATATGCCTTGATTCTAAACTCTATGCTGAGCTCTGGTGGTAGGATTGTTAATTATGATATCCACTTCATGGGAAGAGCTAGTGGTGCAAGCTAATTATTGAAAACTTAATATATTAATCCGTGATAATTTGTTTAGATTATCATACAAAGTGATATTTGATTGAAAATTGAACTTGAAGGGCTTATTGGGCCCACATGTACGTACCTAATCTTTATATCTTTTAAACAATGTCAATGACGTCACACACTCAATCACATAGCACCAAGTTGAGGGATAAAAAAACTATAAAGCTGTTAAAGTTGGTAGACTAATGCTTTATAATGAAGGAAATGAACTATTCTGTCGGGTTTTTAATCGTTAGATCATCAAGTAATCGTCAGACATAGTTGATTTAAAGGTTACAAATACCAAAAGAATGGCTCCATAACGGGACCACAACATCTTCTTATAATGAAATCACTGAAGATATTGCATCTTTTTCACTGATCATGTTATCGGTGAACTTATGACATATATGTGTAACGACCGCCAAAATTTTGTATGTAGGGTCAAAATTCTTAGGCTATGATTGGCAAAACTAGTTGATAAGCTAGCTTATAGCTTATTAGTAATTTTTGAGCTTATAGTTTATGACTTATAGCTGAAAGCTAGCTTATATGATAAAAGTGTTTCGTAATTAAGTTAGCCGATAAGTTAGCTAAAATAAAAATTTCAACTAGCTTATTTGAAGCTACCCAAAGAAGCTTATCAATAAGCTCGAGCATTTTAAATAAGTTCGTCCTACCAAAAGAAACTTATTTGAATACATGAACCGTATAAGCTAACTAAATAAACTATAAACTAACTTATTCGTCTACTAAATATAGTCTTAATAGAAGTAGATGCAAATCACTTAAGTATAATTGCAATGGTGTGTGTAAGTTTTATTTTATTTTATTTTACTTTATTTTTTTCTGCAGTTTTGTGATAGAAGTAATGTAGTGAGCAAACATTATCTCTGCTTTTTACTAGCACTTGCAAAGCTTGCATGTTGAAGCCACTTACGTTCCACTAAAAAATAATCTTATTTGGGGTGAATCTTTATATCTTCACTTGCGTGTCACATGCTTTGATAGTTCCTTGATTGGGTAATAAGCGTGGTTTATGTACGGATTGAAAGTATTAGTGTTTACCCTTTAAAAAAACATTAAGATATTTTTTTATATATATTTATTTATTATTTTTTATCCGTTAGCTAGTACTTGAAAAAATTCTTAACTTGATAGGATATCATTTTCATAATCTAATAATCTACCAAATAATATGCACATGGGAGGTATTTGAAAATATATATATATATTGTCACATTTATAAAAGAGACACATATTTTATTACTTTTTCAATAAAGATTCAATATTTGTAATTATTTTAATAGAGAGACATATCTTATTACTTTTTCAATAAATATTCAAATATTTAAAATAAAATGTCGTACCAAACAAAAATGTATATTTTATAATAGAAGTACTCCTTTATTAAAAACAAAAGTATCTTTTAAAAACAAATACCAAAAGAATATAAAAATACGCACAACAATGAATGAGACTTCAAAATGAAATATTACGTCCCAAACTAGTCACGAGCAATTTTTACAAACCAAGAAGGAAACAGAACAATTCTTTAATCAAACTCTCTAATTTAAACAAACAAAAATCAAGATAAGTTACAAAGACACACTCAAACTAACTTTTTTCGTGAAATGTTACGGTTTGTTATGGAACTATTCTGTCGGAATTTGTAAATCAATTACCCCAAAAATTATATATTGATCTAACAGTGATAAACTCCCGACGAAATAATTACATAACGGAAATGTAGCATCTCCTAGCGTTTTTATAAAATAAAACGACAAAAAAGCATCACTAGGAAATGGTAATAAAATTAAAATACACAAACACCGTCGCTTTATAATCCTTTTTCCATGTCCCAAAAAGTAAAACAAATCAACAATAATCGAACGCGTCCACAGACGCCACAATCGGCCACGCGCCGCTCCAAAAACCATCGCCAAACCCCAGATGCGGAGACTCCTCCGCCTCAAAGACGCAGCCTCCGCCGGCGGCGGTGTTCACGTAGTCCAAAATCTGGTTCAGCGACTCGAGCCTCGGCGCGAGCTCCACCACCTGAGCCCTGAGGACTGAGTTCTCGGCCCCAACGGCTACAAGGCGGTGCTTGGTGGCGCCAATCGCTGCCAAAATCTGAGCATTCAGCTTAGCTAGCCGAGCCACCTCGGCCGTCAGATCGTCGAGATGCTTCTGCTTCTTCATCCTCGACCGCCTCGCCGATTCCCTGTTCGATTCCATCCTTTTCCTCTTCCTCTGATCCATCACCTGCTCGTCTGACCCTCCCGAGGACGCCATTTTTATCGCACCAAACAGGTCCCTGGATTCTTTCACCGAGGGGCTGAATTGCAAAATGCGGGGAGAAAAGGGGGCTGATTATGAAAAAACGTAGAACCAGTAGAGGAAAACAACGGAGAAGGATTGGACGAGGTGGATCCTGGGCCTCAGGGATGAATGATTGATCATATAAACGGACGGTGGGGTTTCACTGGCGAGGCTAAGCATGTATATCTAACACCAGGGGAAACATCTGCAGCATCAATTTCACTGCAAACGCCGAATTCTTGCGCGTGTGTGTGTGTGTGTGTGCGCGCTTGGGGGTTTTTAGAGAAAAAAGATAAGCTTTGTACCTTTGGGCGAAGTATTCCTAAGAAATCGAGAAATTAGTTAAAGCTGGAAAGTGTGTAGAGTGGGGAAAAGAGAGAGTGGAGGAAGAGGTTTTTTGATGAGGGGATTGGAGGCTGATTTATAGATGGAAATTTGTTCGGTAAGAAGAATCAAGATATTATTGACACTAATATCTTGACACTAATAAACCTCTTCTCAGATGTTATTGACACCGTACATAAACCATGCTCGTTATTATTGACACTAATAAACCTCTTCTCAGATGCACAAATCTTCAGCTCGAACAGAAGAAAATACAAGTTCTTTTTAAATATGAGAGACTTGTTAACTTTTGCTTCTATTGTGGATGCTTGGGACATACTGATAACAACTGCGATGAGAGATCGACAGACATTGCTGAAGGCAGAATATTAGCAGGGAGATATGGGAGCTGGCTTAAAGCTTCTGAGATATCTCACTATGCCTCTTCATATTACTCTCTCAACATCATGATACCGAAAATACCTGTTCATCCCCGAAACCAGTTCACCAAAATACAATTATACCCCAAACTCGTACCAAATCTCCTCTAGAAAACCTGCAGCCAGAACCCTCTCTTTCCAAAGACCACACTTCTGATTCCCAAACAAATTCTCCTACCCCTCAAATTTCTAAAACCATCCCTCCACAGCAAATCCAAGTTCACACTAATCCTTCTAACCAAGATATGGACACAGAAACCTTAAGCTCTCCAGAGCTTGAAATAGTTATATCTGACCAGAGCAAGAACCCTCTCTCCCAAAATGAAATTAAAAACAGAAGCAGGGGCTGGAAGAGAAAGCCAAAAACAGTTATCAAAACCCAGAATCAATCTTCGACTGATCCTCTCAGTAGGAAGAGACAAGTGCCAGATCTCTCAAATCAAATTTGTTATCAAGAGGAACCACAGTTGACTGAAATCACCAAAAGGCAAAAAGTGGAGACAGAAGAGGTGTTGGAGGCCAGCCCCAAATGGCCCCACCATGACCAATGAGAGCTGCGGTGTGGAACTGTAGAGGTGTGGGTGGCCCCTCTACAGTTCCCCAGATCAAGGAGATTTGGAAGCTCCATCACCCCCATTTTGTTTTTCTTTCGGAAACCAAGAAAAAAAATCCTTTTATTAATACTATATGCAGAAATTTAGGTGTTTGTAACCAGTGGAGTTCTGTGGAACCACTAGGCAAGAGTGGTGGGCTCCTTTTGTTTTGGGATAGCAATGTCCAAGTTTTCCAAATAATTAAGCACAACTTTTGCATTGAAGTGGAGTTTTGGGATGAATCTCAAGATAAAACCTGCTGGGCTATTTTTGTGTATGGTAGCACTGATAAACAAGAAAGACAGCATCAATGGGAGTATCTCATATCAGCCAAGCAGAAGTGGGGTAACTACTGGTTCATGTCTGGAGATTTCAATGACATTTCGAGTCCTGAGGAGAAGAAGGGTGGCTTAACTAGGACTCAAGCTTCATGTGCCTCCTTTAACAGCTTTATTAGCAACATGAGGATGCTGGAGGTGAATTTGATTGGGCATCCATACACATGGGGTAATAACAGAGAGCAGGAAGGCTTCATTGAGGAAAAACTGGATAGACTCTTTGCTTCATTTGATTGGCACATCCTTCACCCAGAAGCTCAAGTGCATAATATATTTCGAAGTTCCTCGGATCACAGCCTACTGTTGCTCCATAGCTCTCCACCTTCAGTTATCAGGAAAAAACGTTTTTATTTCGATAAAAGATGGCTTGAAAAATCTGATGTGAAAGATCCTGTTTCTAAAGCATGGAGCAGAACTCATTTTGGCACTCCAATGTTCTGTTT